CGTCGTATCGGATAGAAAACGCTTCTGATTCTTCTATCAGACTACTCTTTGACTATGAGTTGTTCTTCGGTGGTCGGTAGACAGTCAGGTTGTCGAGAGCTTGTGATCCCGACGCTCTGATGATGAGCCAAATTGTCTCAGTTGTGCGTGTGAGCTTTCCCGCTTTTTCTGACACAAGCAGGCCATGCTTGACATATGTGAGCACACCCCCACCTTGACGTTCCATTATACCCTTTCTGAACGAGTAAAGATTGGAGAGAGCGACTTCGCGGTCATCTACTTTCACGGACAGCCACGTTTCAGGTGTAGATATGGCATCTGGTAAAGTATGGCTTGCGTAAATCCTAAGTTCGTTTAATTTAGATAGCTGACTTTGTGCATTGATATATAAACATTTTACTTTTGTTGTTTGTTGAAAGCCGGCTATGCCGCCACCTTTGTCGTTTTCTTCAGTTGTGGCAACATACGCAGAGGATGAGTCAATATAAACCAGGACGGCCGCTTGATTATGCGGTTTTTGTACATAACCCGGTTTTGTCTCCACTCCTAAGTCGTAGTCTGAGCTTCTGGACTAACTTCTGACGTTTTAGCCGCTCCGGCGGTGCGTAATCCGGTTGAGAAAAAACTCTGGTGGGAATATTTTAATTGAAAACATCTTGAGAAAATAAGACCAACCTGCACTTTGCAACTCAGAACAATTTTGAGAGGCATAGGGTACGCTATGATGAAGGGTCCAGTAGTGGGCTTTCCGAGCCTGAAGGCTTCTAGTACTGAAACTTCTTCTTTGGATCGATGCATTACGTTCAGAAGACCTTGGAACAAGTCGAGATCTATTAGAACAGGTCCCTTTGGTGTGTCGTAAGTTGTGTCCTTAGGCGTGTACGTAACCCCAACTCCAAGTAGGCTGAGGAAACGGCCGACGAATTCGAAGACGCATTTGAGGCACGGGGCGCTTGTCAAATTTTATAGCAGGTGCCGTTCGGTCTCTCCTCCTGCCTAGGCATAAGGTATTCACTTGTTCTGCGCACTCATCGAAGATACTGTAGTTCAGTAGTCTTGCCTTTCAATTCACATGTGCATTTCTGCACGCTAAGATCGTGTCCCTGCGCAACTGAGTTCGAGGTTCATTGGACGGTTGCCATTGGAGATCAGTATTTGCGTCGAAGTTGTCACATACCAGAACTCTTTGCTTTTTAGGCCCCATAATCTTTGCGACAAGCGAGAGCGTCTACGAAAGCCGTCTGGTTGTTTTGTTCCTCCTTCAATGTAAATAGATGTTCGGGAAGACAGCGTTAGGATGTTTTTTGAATTCCATCAACAGATCCCGTCCGATGACGATGAAGGTTTCATCCAAATACCAAGCCCAGAACTTCAGTCTAGGATGTCAGATTATCAGCGACTGCAGCCATGGCCGGAACGCCTTGGTCATGTCTTCCTAAGTCCGAAGTGGTTCTGCTATAGGTTTACTTCTCACTGAATCGCTGATTGTACAAGTATGCAATGACTTTCACAGATGAACAAGTGGCCAGGAAATTTTTTGCGTCATTAAATTCTGCATGTTTTTTTCACGTTTTTCGAACTTATCGAAACAGGTGTAACTAGTGAAAACATCGTCAGCTTCCACCCATTTTGAAACGCTTGTCATTCTTATTTAGAGACGAAAAGGCTGGACTTGTAATTTCAGCATTGCAGGGGCTCCGCCATATGAATATAAAATCACAATACAAGGTATAAGCAAATTACCTACATTGAACTCTAAGTGGAATTTTGTGCGTTTGTTCGCACGGATCGGCCTCGTTGGACAACCCTGTACTAAGTGCAGTGCCGGCATGACCAACCCGCCTCTCATCTTACAAAACACCACCGACGCCATCGTCAATATGGAAACTTCTCCTACCCCGTCCCCATCATTGCCATCTCCCCTTCCACCATCAATGTGGGGTCAGTCCCAGCTTGCACCATTGTAACTTCATCTTCGAATACCGTATCGGTCTGGTCAGTAACTTGCGAATCGATCCAACTGAGACCGACAGACCAGTGCCTTGAGCCCCGACATATACCCACAATCCACGCATCAACTGTCCACACTGACCTAGGACATATAGACACTGCATGGACGTTTTTAGACTTATGCGCATGCATGAAAGCTTCTCATGGGACAGCGCAGTCGAGATCCCTCATGGCATTTCGCTTAACCTGCACGAAACTGTTCGTTTAGGTTAAGCATAACCTTACTCGATCAAACGCGTATGCACGACAACTATCGGTAGCATATCACGAAAATTTCATGTAATTGCATGCGGAAAAGTTCATCAAAGTCCTTATGACAATTGAAACGTCGTAGGAGAGAATGTGCGCACCGTACTGCGGCGTTGGATATGCCCTTGTGTGCTGTCTAACGGATGTCTAATAGGCGCCGGGTCGTGTGTAGCACGCGTAGACGGTACGTTTAACTCCGTCAGTCACTGCGTCATTTATTTTTCTTAGCTTGCGTCAAACAAACCACTAGTGTATAGAAGAGGAAGGGATGTCTGAGGCTCACGCCAGGAACTCAATCCAATTGCGAATCAGCATAATCCCCATCATAATCAATTTCACGCACTTACACGGCGTTCTATCATTCATGCCTTTAAAGGTCACTAAATTGGTAATTTGATCCTTCTGGGGATGGCAGTCGGGCTGCAATGGCCCCTTCTCTATGTGGCAGTTAAATCCTCAGTCGCGTTCGCGAACCTTATCGACTAGAGTGCATAAATCCTCTCAAAATAACGTACATTACTATAGATGACCGGATGTCCGTAATGTCAGTCCTTTGCATTTAAAAGTGCCATATTTACCGTGAACAAAACTTAAAAACGATCTAGAAGTTGAGATTTCTTCTTATATTTATATTACTCACAAGTTATATGAAAAAAATCCATAAAACGGGGTCATACCTCCATGCGTATATTTAAAACTTCCTTCGCTCTTCCTTTATGTTTGCCCATTTTCTCTTAGTCAACAAAACTCTAGAAACTGTACAAAAAAACGTTTTCGCCACCTGTTATTCAAATAAAAAGGAGTGTTTAAATGGGAATTTATGTTCGTTCAGTTTGGATGATGGTTCGGGGTCAAATGCTCTCAAGTAAATGATGCTAATAGGTTTGTTTAAGAAAATTCCCATGCAAATAGAGTAGGTGCGTTTTTCTTTGAGTTCCCGGCTTGTCATCATTAAATTTATTGGTACCTATTCGGCCGCACGTCAAGTTAACGTAGGAATATTGTCTAGAAACGAACTTTTGAAGATGTTAACATTCATGCAGTTTTCCTGAAGGTTAGTCCAACTAACATTCAGAAAAATTTGGACAGCTCAGTCAGCTCCTCTCAGACAGTTAATTCCAAACGCGAGCAGATTTCGAGTCCTACCAGCGGCCTGATACCGCGAAAGCAACGAACTAAAAAAGCGCTACATGACAGTGGAGAGGACAGCACGCGACCGCTGGAAATTATTGCCAATCTGGAGCCCTCTGTGAGACAAGACGATCAAGTGGAATCAGGTCGTAGCACGGAAACTTTGGTCTCAATGCAATCGCAGTCAGGAAGTCGTCAAGACCTCAGTAAAGACAATGAAGGACGAATTGAAGTGCAGGAAGTCGATGAAGAGATTGAGACGCAATTCCAACGCAGAAACTCAGCTCCGCAGCTGCCTAAGAAGGCGGGAAATGTTCAACTGCAAGATGACGGCCTGTTGACCAAGGAAAATTCCAGTAATGTCAAGAATTTACCAGACGTTACAGAGCGGAAGGTAAAGGTAACTTACGACTGGTTTCAATCTTTAAACAACATTAACTCAAGCAGATAGCCCACTACGTGACCATTTTTATGGTTTCATATGCTCATAAACAAGTAATATCTACAATCTTTTCATGGTCCAACATACTGACAACGCATGTACCTTCTAGAAACAGCAGCATTTCATGGCTGTAAGGGGTTCGGATCATTAGTGGTCCTCCTGCGTTCCCATTGTGTCTTCTGGTAAATACTCTAGCTTTGAGGTTTCAACTTTTTAATCTCCGAAACTAATGTATTAACTTAGTATAAATCCAAACTGCCCCGCAAATTAAGTAGAAACGTATACATTTTAGGAGTGACGAAAAGGGATCTGCTAACAAAACTGGTGTTGAGGACTTCCAAATGGTTACACAGAGATCCGAATGTGACCAGGACGGTGTGCCACTTGGTCGAAGCCTTAACCTTGCACCAGTCCTGCACGAATTTATTGCATCTAACTGGAAATCTTTTTCCGTGACCGCAAAACTGAAGGCGTGTGGGGACAAGTTGGGATAGTCTGATCATCGCACAACCAGTTCGTGTGTTTATAGGCGTGCCTTAAGGCTCCCGTTTGGAGATAATGAAACCATCTTCCTTTTCTGTCTAAAATCCTTCAGATCCCTTCATCGACTGGAGTAAAAACCGAGTCGGGACGGCCCAGTTCCCGCAAGAAATCGCGCATCTTCATACCAAAGCTTAACAAGCTCCATCCAGCCAGCGAAGATTTTATCAATTCCTCTGAACAAAGTCATTCAAATCTGTGACATAAAGACCAGGGCGACTGGGTAGCGCATGGCTGGCTACACGATCCTTCATGAACTGGCCATTTCTCAAAATGACCTGTCCGATTTCCTATCTATTTTTAATCTAAATGCAATGTGTTTCTATTCCTTTTTGTATAATTATTGCTGGTGTTAAAACTGTTACGCTAACTGATAACTAAAATTATCCCGTATTTTGTTATCGCTTCTTTATTTGCGACTAAGTATTTGGGGGCACCCACGCATGCGAACTGTTTCTTTTTTCTTATTTCAGTTGGTATAAAACTGTTGGGTAATTTGATAGAAGGAGAAGACATCTGCCATTGTAGGTATTAAGTCATAATGCGAAAATATCCGTAGCAAAAATCCTAGTGTATGTGTGTGCCAGAAGACTTACTTGTACTTGATACGGCTGCGAACATGCCTGATCTAGTCGGCCTCGATGATGTCTCGAGCTGTACCTCTCCACGCGTAACGACCCGCGGCAGCAGATCTGGACAGCTCAACCCATTCCCTTCGCCAACGACGGAGACCGAATACCGAACGTCCAAGAACCACTTCCATGTCTTGACGAACTGTGCCAAGCCAGGTTTTGAACTGACCCCCTCCTCGACGCCTCCGATGGGGCAACGGTGCCGGATCGAGGGCAGTAACACTGAGCTCTTGAGGTGGACGACGAAGAACATTCCCGAACCAATTCATTCGTCTTTCTTGGATGGCCTGAGTTATCCTTGCGATGTTGTCGCAACGAGCGTCGACTGTCTCATTTGAGACGAAGTCGGTGAACTTCCCTCGAAGGATGGTCCTCAAGCAGTGGTGGTCAAATACCTCCAGATTTCGCTCGTCCTCCACGCGCAAAGCCCAGCATTCACAACCGTAGAGAAGGACAGACCGGACAGATGCACGGTACACGCGAATCTTTGTGGCGATGGAGAGGTCAAGTCGGTTCCATAGGCATTTCCGTAGGTTTGAGAAAACCCAGCGGGCAGCATCGATTTGGGAGACAATGTCGTCCTTACTCTGTCCATTAGGCAGCAGCCTCGCCCCACGGTATTTAAAACTGTCTACTTCTTCAAGTTGACAGCCATCAATCCCGAGGGGTGCCTTCTCTTGGTCAGGGATGCAGCTTGAGAATACTTTGGTCCTCCCAGCGTTTATGGACAAACCGACTGATTTATCGACCTCGTTCACTCGTGACACCATAGACTGCAGATCACCAAAACTTGAAGCAAGTAAGGCGATATCATCGGCATAGTCGAGACCAGTCAGTCGATGTCCGGGTGCAAACTCAACGCCGTCACTTTCGCCTAGGGCCCTCCCGAGGATCCAGTCAATAGCGTGGTTGAACAGTATGGGTGATAAGATACAACCCTGTCGGACGCCAGACCGAATACCGAACGGTTGGGAAAGATTGTTGCGGACCAGGACTCTCGCAGTAGTGGAACGATAGTAGGCCTTGACCATGGCGATGCTTTTTGCCGGTACACCATCCAGCGCCATTATCCGCCACAGGGACCACGCTGAACAGAATCGAACGCGGCTGCAAAGTCGACGAAGCAGACGGCCGTCGATTGTTGGTAGCTATGGTGAAATTCGAGAATGCGCCTCAGTGTGAATATCTGGTCTGCGCATTCACGTCCAGCACGAAATCCGGCTTGGTTGGGCCTCGTCCTTGAGTCACGCACAGCCTGGAATCGCCTGAGTAGGACAATAGCGAAGATCTTCGCAGCAACGTCGATGAGACTTATGCCGCGGTAGTTCTCGCATCTCGTCTTATCTCCCTTCTTGACGATAGGTACAAGGATGCATAGGCCCAGTCATCAGGAACATCCTCGTTTCTCCACGCTCGTTCAGTCACCTCACGGAGCCAGGGCGCCAGTGTCGACACAAGACTTGAAGATTTCAGCGTGTATACCGTCCTCTCCGGGTGCCTTATTGTTGCGCAAGTTTCGTATGGCATCGGCGACTTCTCCCTCAGATGGGGGAGGGTCGCATGGCACTGCATAGGTAGGAGAGGGAAGAAACTCCGCTGAGGAGGAGAGCAAGGGCGAGGTAGGTTGGGTATCGAAGTTGAGATGGTACTTGAAGTGCTCACGTCAGCGCTCGACTTTGGCCGAGTTGTTAGCAATAAAGCCGTCGTTTACATCGCGAACAGAGTCACTTAGTGTAGAGGGCTTACCGCTAACTTGGCGGATCAGACGGTAGAGCTTTCGAGTGTCACCAACGTTCAAGGTCTGCTTCATGGAGATCGCTATTTCAGCCCAATATTGCTTCCGGTCATCCCTGGCCGATTTTGCCGTCATCTTCTGAAGTTGGCGGAAGTAGTCATCGTTGCGGAACCTGGCTCTAGCCGTCTAAGCAGACAACTGCAGGGTTCTTCCGCTGACCCAGTCACTGCGGCGTCGCTGGGTGTATCCAAGGATTTTCTCAGCTGCCCCATAGACTAAAGTCTTCAGTGACGACCACTGGTTACTGACTTCTCCGTCGGCTCGGGTAGTAAAACAAGTCCGGATTTCTCTGCTAAGGGCCTCGGCAGTGCTAGCTTGCCGGATTTTTACGACATCGAGGCGTCTAGGACGTGGCATTTTTGACGCGGATGAGAAATGAACTTTCAAGCGTGTACGGACGAGGACATGGTCCGACCCATGGGCGTTACCAGTCTCGGCACCACGCATCGATCTGCTACCATGAACCCAGCTGCGGAACTTTGAGCTGACCAGTATGTAGTCAATCTGACTGGCCGTATGACCGTCGTTTGGATACCAGGTCAGCAGATGTTTTTTGGGATGCTGGAAACATGTGTTGGTGACAAGCAGTCGGTTTCGATCAGCGAAGTTCAGCAATTTCTCACCATTTTCACATTAGGAGCCAAGCCCAAAGCGGCCAAGAAGATGACTGGTTGTGGGGTCGCCAGGTCCAGTTCGACCATTCCAATCCCCAGCAACAATCAGCAGATCGCGGCGAGGCAGTCTTTCAACTAGCGCTTACAACTGACAGTAAAACGCCTCTTTATCGCGCTGTTCGGCAGCCGAAGTTGGTGCGTACACAGAGACGATTGAGATGTTCGTGAAGTGACCCTTCAGCCGCGCGTAAGCCATCCGGTCATTGACTGGTTCCCAAGCAAGTAGCGCGAGGTCCGCTTGTTGCGATAGGGCGACCGCCACACCGTGTCGATCAGAAGAATCGCGCGGGCCGCTGTGGTACAGGGTGAAGTATGATTCGACTCCCGGGATCTTTATTCCGCGGGAGCCTGAGTCAGGGAGTCGAATTTCAGAGAGATAGCAGACATCCACGTTGTACTGATAAAGGCTGCGCGCGGTCAGATTTTGGGTACCAGGGTCCAGGAACGTTCGCACATTACAGCATCCAATACCGAGAGTCCGTCCACGACTGAGTAGTCCAGCTCGCATACTACTCACCCGCACCACTGGACCAGGGTTGCGGAGCGCGTCGGTTCCCGCGGACGCCGTAGCATGGGTCGTAATACTGTGATCGGACATGTATCATGAGGTTTCTTGGGAATTTCGAATACGGGCGGGTCCCCAACAGCCGCTCGGATTGTTTGTTCGATGTTGTCTCCTCTAGCGTTTTGGCTTAAAAGACTAACCACAAGGCAGCGGTGGCAAGTAAACTGATTTAACGGCGGTTTACGGTCGCCATGTCACAATTCGGTCATTGGGCTTTGCGGCTTTTTATAAGGCTTTCAGCGTGCCAGACCTCAGCCAACCGCACCCTGGTAGCAATGTCGTTGCTGGTCCGCGACTGTTTATTCGTCAGACCTGGGCCTGCTTATTTCGCAGCTAACCTTCACCGAAGGTCGTCCCACTATCCGCCACCTGTGGACGCGCCGGGTAGCCGGCAGCTAGGCTAACGGGCAACCCGTCTTCCCAGAGTGCCAGAAGTGAGAAATAGATAACCCCTCCGATGAGGAATTAGACCTTCAGTTCGCTTACCAGTTAACAGGAGGTTGATGGGACCTATAGCAGTGCGATGAGTAAGTAAGCAACCTGACGGCTTAGGAAATATTTCGAAAGAAGCACTGCCTAAAACAGCGAAAGTTTACATAAATAACTTCAAACTGAATAAACTGAAATTCATTTTCATAAGACTTCATCTAGGAAGTTATAGAGATGCACGGGTCTTCGAAATCCAAATTTCTGCTGGAGGCATTGATATCGAAACAAAGAAATACATTTAGCCAAGCCGAGGAAGAATGGCTGCATTTACAGCAAACAGGATGAAATAGGGTGGAGATGAGCTCACCGTGTACCAGGACTTGAATACTAGAATGTCTTGGGAAATCGCGCGCCGGTAAATAAAGGCTACTCGAGACAATTATCAGGCTCACATCTTCCGTTCCGATCTTCTGGGGTATTTTAACTATTTTGAGCCCCTTGTCCGAGTCTCGTCCTGGCTCTGTTAGGACCTCTAAATATGCAACTTCCTTACGACATCTATTTTTTCATAGTTCCAGCTCGGTACATCGCCAACAGACATAGCATCGGTAAGTACTCGTGCATTTTTTGAAGTATGCATTTCACCATAATCAAAGCTCCCACCTTTTTGTCTAAATATCTTGCTTTGTTGGTGGGTGTACAGTAATGAACGGTATGTTAGACGTTATTTTCAGCGCTCTACGTCCCTCTGCTCGGTAAGCTTTCAGCTGTTCGATTTGAAATTTGTTCATCTAACTTTTCGAGATCGAGTTACTGTTTTGAACTGTCTGGTTATGCGAAGTTGAAAGTTTCACTCACCTTCCCCATTTGCCCCCAGATATTACTCGGAAAACCGCCCCTCTCGTGCTATTTTTGTAGAAACTAGACTTCTTAAGTGACTTCCGCAATTCGTAACTTTTCAGCACAGACGTGTGCGAAGTGCTCTTAGATGACCTATTATCCTAATGGCTGAGTTTCCGCGTGGCAGCTGGTAACAAGGAAACGAAGATGTTAAAAATTCACCATGTCATTGCTGTCATAGAATTCTCTACTTCTTGTTCCTGTCGGTGCATTTGACAGTTCTTGGGTGCATAGCACTGTGAGTGCTTGTAGCCTCCGACACCGAACGCTGTTAATCCTGAATTTAATTGAAAACAAGCATGTACAGCAGAGTTTATTGGGGCCAATAAATGTCGTGACGGCTTTTCAACTGCTGCCCGTCTCTGCATAACATAGGTAACGAATGAAAGAGCACAGCAGTATGGATTTTTACAGAATGGCAGTGCCTAAGAGCAAGTTCAAGCTTCAAGGCAATGAATAATCAGATAAGACGTCCACATAAGCGTCATGCAGGAAAGAGGGAGACGAAACGTTGACAACAAATCACAGTCAGGGGAAACTAGAGGCGTGAGATTACCAGGGCAATTGCAGATTGATCACGTGATCTAACTGCTTGCACAGGTCTGGTTTCTCCCTCCGTATGCAAGCTGCTTCCAAATAACGCAAGGTTCGAGTTGTATGCGCTCGGACAAGTACTTGAAAAGATGCTTTAGGGTCGACAACATGACCGCTATCTAACAGGTGTTTCGTTATAGACGAACGGGGGGTTTTGATTTCCTGTTTGAAAAGCCAATTAGGCAAATGCTCAGCGGCCCTGGTTGCCAATTGCCTTTACGTTCGCCCAATGTACTTGCATCCGCAAGTGCATGTGAATTTTATACACACAATTTGGGGTGGCGTGCATTGGCAAGACATCCTTTGCCCGTCTAATTGGAAGGCTTTTGTGGAACTGATTAAGATAAGCTCTGCTGCGTTGTACGTTCTTTCCATAGTGCAACGCAAGCGTCGCTTGATTGTGTTTGAGACGTTGTCACCCTTAAAAGGTAGACATATTATAACGGGCTTCTTCGGAACGGACTGTTCCGTCAACTTTGGTCATAAATGGTTGCTGTACTTCTGAATAAAGCGTGCAAGATAACCACGACTAAGAAAGGCTTCTTTGATCCGGGCAGTTTCTGCATCTATGGTAGCCCTGGAGCAAATATTTCTCGCTCTTTGAAAAAGAGTATGTACTAAATTACATTTCCATTGTACTGGCGCAAAACTTTTAAAATGTAAATATTGCCCTTTCCACTTAATCTTGTGGAAGACGGAGCGTCTTATTGAACCATCATCCTCTCTACACATGAGGACGTCCAGGAAGGGTAACTTGTTAAACTGCTCCATTTCCATCGTAAAGTTCCTGAGTTTCTCTTCAGGCCTGACTCTGCCACATCAGCCTAACTTCCACGTGGTAACCACTTCGGTTGTACTGATTCAAACAAAGACTGAGATGATGTTTGTTGTTACGCTGACGATATGCGTGTCCTAAATAATGGAGACAGCTAGCTTCCACAGTGCCGCCGGCGAGAGTTATGACGTTGCTACTTAGGCTGATTTGGATTTAATCCCACACACTTCAACCTTTATCGTCTGCCTTTCACCACGTCTAGGTCACAAACCCTCTCAAAGAAGATCAATTATGCTACTGCGACGTCTTATGTGATATTCCATTTCCTCCCAACA